ACGTTTTTCAAAATGATTTCAAATTGGTTAAGCTATTGCGATATTCCTATGATTCTTATTAAATGTTTGTAGGATGGTTTATATCATCATTAGTGATTTTATTAGCCATAAATTTTTTTAATTTCATTGAAAAATGTAAAAATTTAATAAAATAAATCATTTAAGAAATGGCATAAAAAATAAACAACGCTGAAGCATTTGTAACATTATTTTCATCAAAAATCGTTCAAATAAATCAGATTTTTCCCAATTTAGATGAAAAAAATATTATATGTAATTATTGAGATAAGTTATAGAAGCAGAACACTCACCACCGCATCGTCTTCGTTGTTTACAACTGAACGTTTTGCATAGTTTGGTGTGGTTGTTGTCGTTGTTTTTGTTGATGTTGTTGTAAGTTTTGTTGTTGTGATTGTTGTGAACATTTTTGTTGTTGTTTTTACAGTTGGTGTTGCCGTTATTGTTGCCGTTCTGCTGCTGACGTTGTGTTGCTGCTGCAGTCTCGTACTTGCTGCAAGGACACTCTCACCCACTAGCGATGCCACCAGGAAGTCAAAAATTAAAATTTTTCTGAAGTTACTAAATTCATTTTTGAAGCTAAAAAACTTATGATTTAAAATGCAATGAAGCAATTATGGTTTATCCAAGTAATTAAGTGAATAATATCATTTATAATTAATTATTAAAATTGATTCTAATGTTTATGTTTAATCAGTTTTGTAGTTTACGCAATCAAACCATCGAGTCACTTTTATAAGTTGAGAAGGAGTGCTGAGATGATTGGTAGCTCCGGGGGGCGGGGCGGGAGTAACCGCACACACCTCAAACCTTTGTTGCCAATCAACTCTCATTCACCAGATTAGTCAGATTTTGTCATTAATGAATTTTGCTAAAACAATTTGAAACGCCTTAAACAATAACAGCGTTGATTATATAAAGCCGCCCATTGTTAATATCAGTGGAGAATGTTGATGTTGTGTGTAACTTGTTGTGTGTCGTGTGCGTGCATGTGATTGTTTTTGTATGAATGCTCGTTAGCTGCTCGCTATTTTCAAAAGTCTTTCAGAGAGTTATTCAATCACCTTCTCATTGAAATCTAATTAATAAGCTTGTAAGCATCCAGATATGGGCAGAAATTTTTTGTGAGATTATTTTAACGAATGCGCCAAGCGGTTAAATGCACCACACTGTCTATCTATCTATCTATTCATCGCGTCAATCCCGTTCAAGTGCAAACGTTGTTGTTTTAAACAAACTGTTATTTTCATTAATTTTAATAAGTTTTTTATTTAAACTAAACATTAAAATGTTAAGGTGTGTGTGTGTGTGTGTTGTGTATTTTGTGTGGTGTGTGTGTGGTGTGTGTGTGGTGTGTGTGTGTGTGGTGTGTGGTTGATGACATAACATTTTTAATTTGATGTGATTACCGTTCTGATTGCATTGATATTTAATTTTTTTTTTGTAACAATTTGTTATGGTTATGATTTTTTTTAATACAAAACAATTTATATTTTCAAAAAGCATTAATGAATTTGTGCAAGGATGGTAATGATTATGAAGATGATGATGACAATGAAGACACTCATCATCTTGCTTTGATAATGATGATTATTCACCAACTCACACGACGTTGAGCGTCAGCGAAAATATAAAAGCCAGTTATGGTTAGGAATGCCAAGACCTATCTATAGGTTCAATAGAGGAAGCTAGAACTTCGAACGTATAAGCTTTATAATGCTTTCGATATACACCGGTACGTATGTATTTGTTTTAAATAAGTTACATATATAAATATATACATATTCATATAGTTATATATATATATATGAATTTTTCCATTAAATGAAGTATTAACATTGTATATATATATATATATATATATATATGTGTGTGTGTGTGTGTGTGTGTGTGTGTGCTTGTGTTTGTGTATAGTCAAAAGACACAAAGCTTTATAATGCGTTCGATATACAAATATATATATATAGTTATATATATATGTGTGTGTGTGTGTGCGTGTGTATGTGTGTGTGTGTTAGATACATATTCATAGTCTTAGAGTTGAAGTCATGACGAAAAATAGACGATGTGCATATATGCGTGCATTCCTTACTTCATTTAAACTATTATGTATGAAATATATATGATATATGATATATGTCCAAAAACCGCCCAAAAGTGCCTGTTTGTCATTTTCCCCTAACTCCATGCAGTCGATCCCCTACCTTCTATCCATTCCATCTGTGCACTGACATTTTTTTCACATGACCCTTTTTAGATCCAAGGAGCTTTAAAATTTTGCGAATGTTGTCGGCAGAGGTTCGGCGTGAAAAAAAAACTTAAATGTTTGAAATCAAAAATAAAAAGTTTAAGAAATACAGTATGACCTCCGTATAACGAATTTGATGACTTGAGGAAAAAATTTCGTTTTCGTCATAAAGAATTTGTTTGGAGAAAATTTCTATATTGTCTAAAAGCTGGTTATATGTTATATAATTATGAAAAACAACCTCCTAATCATAAATTTTGTTAATAGAAAGTAATAAAATGTGGCATAATTTTAAAAATAGAATTTAAAATGGAATTTTTTCTTTGTTCCATACAATGAGGATTTCGATTCCAACGAAATTAATTGAGGTTAGAATACGCAAAAATTACTAGAATACTAGAACATGAAACAATGAATATAGGTTCTAAGATATTAAAGGAGTACGAAAACATCGCTCATATCAATTCAAAAATTGTTTGCTGGTCGGATATTTCTTTTAACTCTTATAAATTTTGTTCGTTATAGAAAAAGTATTTTTGTTTTATAGAAACAGTTTTATATGTAAAATTCCATAGGACAAAAAATTTTGTTATATAGAGATTTTGTTGTATACAAGTTCGCTATAAAGGGGTCCGACTGTACTTAATTAAATACACATTCAACCGTTGGAGACAACAGTGGCCAACCTGGACACCCAAAGAAGTGGCACAGCAAACGGAAACATCCAGATTCAATTCAGCTAAAGAGATCTAAAAAGGCTCTCCCTTTGATAAACCTGGATTCATTTTGGGATGATTTTTGGAGATTTTCATACAAACTTTAGCTTACACGTTACAATTCATTTTTTATTAGCCAAAAATTAAATCAACAGCGAGCGATATTCCACTTAAAAAATTGAACTTGTTTTATAGTCTTGCAAAACCTCGTTCGCTGCACTTATTTGCGAATTTGAATTGAAGTTAGAAAAAACCAACCAAAGTTTTTGAGGTAAGTTTTAACATTGATCCAGTTCAGTTATAAGAAAATGTTAAGCATCGGCATCTCGTTAACATTTTGAAACGATACGTTTTGATACCTTATTGCAGTTTTGTCTTCAATGAAGCGAGACGAGACAACGTCAAAAATAACGAAAAATAACAACAAGATAACGATACGATATCAAGATATCAATTCACAATTTTAGAATTATAACCCAGTGATTAAGCAACTTTATTTTTTTAATAACGAAAGCTTGTTTACCCTGTATAATATTTAACTATCATCAAATTCAAGAAAGCTCGAAATAAAAACATCAAAGTAAAAACTGAAAATGTGCTTATTTAAATTAAAAACAATAAAAAATAATTTATCGTTATTTTTGATGTATTATTCTCTTTCTAAAATAATTTATGAGCAGATATCACAAGACTATCTAGATAGTATTGTGTCTACGAAGCATGAGGTAAATGATGATTTTTGAGTTGACTGGCAGATGTTTGGAAGGGTCTAGACGCAACAATGGAAGCTGCATTTTATTGGCCACTAACTTTGACTAGTTTTTCTGTTAAAGTTTTTCACTGCATATTTAACTATTTTAAATGTTGCAGTGTTGAATGTTTCCAAATCTAAAAAAGGAAATATATATATATATATATATATATATATATATATATATATATATATATATATATATATAATCAAGTACGTGATAGTGTAAATAAATTGTTAGATATATCATATGTAATAAAACAATTGATGACGCATAACTCGTTACATTGTAATCAAAAGCAGCCATTCAAAGCTTGCATGTTCATGCAGTTACACATCGACATTCCCATGCAACCAACCAACCAAGCAGTAATTTTTTCTCAGGAGATCATGAATATGTACACAGGCAGTTCCTGTCACGAGGGTGACGTCATTGCAAACCTTTATAAGAACGTTCAATCGACAAACAGGTTCAGCAACGAGGTAAAACTAATTTAATTGAAAAAAATTTTATCCACAAACATACAATTTACAAAAGCCTAAATAATAATAATAAAAATAATAATAATAATTATATAAATAGTAGAATAATAATAATAATAATACAATTAATAATAAAGGTTAATATATTATTAATTTTCATTGAGTGAATAATATAGTGGAGAGTATAGAAGGAAAGATGCAAGCAAAGGCGATTTTATGGTGTTTTTTAATACTATTCTTAGCTGCAATGGTGCATTGTGCACCTAGTCAAAAATTAGAAGTCTCTAGGAAAACAACGGGCCATACCACAAAAATTGCAACGTCATCGAAACCTGCTGCAACTACCACGACGCCGATATCCGCAACAAAATCAACGACACTTTCCGCAAATGATGGAAACAAAGTAAAAAGTCAAGATGATGCTTTGGTGAGTAGATCTTAGCATTTATAAAATTTTATTCTGTCATACTCAAAAAACGTTTACCTGTGCTATTAATTTATAAATTTATGTTACAATAACTTTGATTACTAAACAGAAATATCTGTCTCAATTTGGTTACATTGATGAGAAAGTGAACAAAAATAAAAACGTCGCTAGCAACACCGATTTGAGGGACGTACTTGAAAGGCTCCAGCGCTTTGCGCACCTTCCAGTCACTGGTAATATACGTTTGTGTTATAAATATTTCAAATTATTATTTTTATGGACTAGTGGTTGAATTAAGCTTTGACATGGAAGAACCAAAACGATGCTGATTACAAATGTTGACGAGCGTTGATAACAATGACAACAGGCAAGCTGGATGAAGCCACGTTGAAGCTCATGAACTCTCCCAGGTGCCACCTCCCCGACTTTCCTGCCCCACACAACAACAAAGGGAAACGATTTGTTGCTAGAGGTAGTTTTTAATTAACAGTTTACTGCAAAACTCTTACCCTATGTATACATATGAATTTATTTGTAATTAACAAGTCTCGTAAAAAATAGTTTATTTTTAAAGTTTCAAGTTTACGTATAATGTTTCATATTTATATACTTTAAATTTAGTCGGTATAAAATTATCTTCCAACCCTTTCAAGAGGCTTGGAGAAAAACCAAGTTGACATACAACATAAATAACTTCCCAACATCGTCATCCGACATGCAAGATCCCAACAATGTTGGCCAAGCCATTCAAACTGCCTTCAACGTTAGTCAAATTCAATTTCCTTACCAACTGTTTTCAAATCATTCTCAAATATTTACCCACTGTCCTAGCTATACACACAAAAATGAACAAACATGAAAAATGAACAAACATTTTTATGAAATTTCAAAGTTTTAAAGAACACTTTCACTTTTTGCAATAACAAAATTGAATAGCTATAATTAGTGAATTAGTGGTTATTTGCTTGTGCATCGTTTTTATGAAAATACTAACCTTTCATGGAATTACAACATCTTCTCCAAGATCTGTTCAAGAGTGAATTGAACAAATAAATAAACAGTTAAATTAATTAATTAATTAAGGATTGGACTTCAGTGGCCATCTTGGACGTGCAGAGGAGCAGTGCAACAAACGCAGACATCCAGATTCAATTCAGGAAGAGAAGCCACGGAGATGACTACCCCTTCGATGGACCTGGAATCATTCTGGCCCATGGTTTCTT